TCAAGTGCTTGGTCTAAGGTCACATTTGAACTCAGGTCCTCCTGACTTCAGAGCCAGTGCTCTATCCACTGCACCACCTAGCTGCCCCTAAGAGTCACTAGTTGGAAGGGACACTTCAGAGTTCCTCTAGTACAAACCACACCTAAACAAAAATTTTCTCTGCAACATATCCAACAAATGTTTCTCCTACCTTTGCTTGAAGATCTTCAGTGATGGGGAACCCATTGATTACTTCCTGAAGCAGCCTTTTTCACTTTTTTTTTTTGTTAGGCAATGGGGTTAAGTGATTTGCCCAGGGTCACACGGCTAGTAAGTGTCAAATGTCTGAGGCTGGATTTGAACTCAGGTCCTCCTGACTCCAAGGCCAGACAGAGCTCTATCTACTGTGCCACCTAGCTGCCCTTCTGTTTCACTTTTTTTTTAATCTATATGTATATGTGTATAAATACGATGATATATACAATGTTCTATACCTGTGGACTTCACACCCCTGCAAAAGAGTTAGGGTAGGTGTTTTCTCACATCTTTTTTTGGGGGCCAGTGCTCAGATGAAAAGCCAACCACCTAAGGCACGATTGATATAAGATGTGATGTTTTCCAAGCCAGAGATAAAGTTTTCAGAAATTCTTATTGGCTCAACCAAGTGGCCCTTCTCAGGCATCTCCTTCTAGTTATCAAGGCTCTTGGATTAGACCTAGCCCCTGGAGAAGAGCAGGGCTCAACTTGAAGGGCTAGCAAAGGCATTGAGATGTCAACCACTTGCTTTGGGAGTGTTCTCTGTCTGCAATCCTCTACTCCTACAGGATGCTTGGAAAACACAAAGTAAAGCTCAATGTGACTGGGGCCATCCCCCTCTACAATGTTTTTCTTCCCCTCTGCTTGTTCATTTCTTCCTTGGCAGCAATAACTTCCTTTCTCAGCAGAGAATTTGATTCTTTAAATATATATTTAAGAGGTATTGATAGCAAAAAGGGCTAGAGGGACACAACTTGTTACAGCTTGGGCTTCTGACATTTTCTCGTGGAAAGTTTTCTATTTGCTTCCTCTGTTTCACTTTTATAAAGCTCTAATGATTAGGAAGTTTTTCCTTACATCAAACAAATCTATCTTTTTGCAACTTTCCCATCTTGTACTCCTAATTCTGCCCTCTGAGGCTGAGAAGAATCTCTCCTACTTTACAGCCCTTTAAATATTTGCTGCTCACAAGAAGGGCTTACCCAGATGTTCAAATACACTGAAGCTTCAGTATAATATAACCTATGAGAACATGGACTTTTTTACAACCATTGCCAACCTTGCTTCCCAGTCGAGGGAGGTTTATTTAGTGGAAGTACAGGAAAAGCCTTATTCTAACCCTGTTTCACCTCTAGAATAATTCTCTGCTGTGACCTAGCTGACAGTATTATAGTGAGGTTCTAGTGTAGTGAAGAGGGATGGTTACTCTATAATTTCTGGGGGTCAGTCATCTGTGTTGAAAGACCCTCTGTGGCAGTGGCCACATTTGATGGGTGGAGGCTGCTAGGGTGCTGAGCCGAGAAAGTGGCTGCACCCCAGAAGGGTTCTCTTGTTGCCAGAGGCCATGGTTCAAAGACCCTGTCCACTTTAGTTTGATTTTCTCATTCGAGTTGTACTCAGAACATCGCTGAATATCACACTTGTCTTGTTTTCCTCTGGCATATCCTGTGGATCATAAGACCAAGTAAGAAATACAGATTGCTGAAGTGCTCAGTCATACAGGTAAGCAGCACCTGTGGATCATTCTCATATGCCAGAGGATTTAAAACTTTTTTGGTAATCATTTTTTTATTTAAACATTTTTAGATAATCATTTTCTATTTAAAAACTTTTATTTTTTATGAACTTGGCAAACACTAACCAACATGGACATTCCCATACACAAAGAAGAAAAAGAGGACTAGATAGGAAACTGTGGCTCTCTTTCATGTACTGTTTGTTTTTTAAAAGATTACATTTTATATTAAACTAAACTCCGTGGTACCTGCACTTCCCTGGTTGTCTGTGTCCACCTTCTGCACTTCCTTCTGCTCTTTTGAAAAAATACTTCACACGACCAGAAATTTTAACAGGTTTATGGTGCTTCAAAGTTTGGAAAGCACTTTGCATGCATGATCTGTCTGAGCCCCACAACAGCCCTGTGAGCTAGGTAATTACAGGTTTTATTATTTCCATTTTGTGGCTGGGGAAACTGGGGTTGAAAGAGGTCAAGGGACTTGACCTGTGATTACATAAACCCAATGTAAGAGGCAGAATTTTAACCCAGGTCTTCTCGACTCTAGCTTCGGCATTTTCGCCACTGTGCCAAGCTATTTTTCAAAAGTCCTTAAAATTGAGACTTGCTTTTATCAAAAACAGTTCTGTTACACCTATTTTTATTAATTTCCTGTGTTCAAACAAGGCAGCTAAATGGTGCAGTGGATAGAGTACCAGGCCTGGGGTCAGGAAGACCTGGGTTCAAATCCAGTCTCAGACACTTACTAGCTGTGTGACCCTAGGCAAGTCACTTAACCCTGGTTGGCTCAGTTACCTCATCTATAAAATGAGCTGGAGGGAATGGCAAACCATCTCAGTATCTTTGTCAAGGAAACAGTGAATTCGATCACAAAGAGTTGAATACTACTGAACAACAACTGACAATCGAGGAATTGACAATAAAGGAAATAAAGAAAAGAAAAGACTCGTCAGGGATGGATGTGGCATTATGTTCTACTTTACCTGAGATGGATTTGGCTTCTCCTTTAATTTCTGTTTCATTGGTTTTATTACTGTTAGAACTTCTCCTGGAATCCCAAAAGTTAAGCAAAGAGACAAAGGAAAAATGAAAATCATTAAAACTGTGTTTTCGGGAGGAAATGGTAGCACATGCCTGTAATCCCTGCTTTTAGGGGAGGCTGAGGGTTGTACATCACTTGAATTCTGCTGCAGTAGGACTAACACCAATCATGGGAGTCTGATCTCTAAATTCAGTACCAATATGGTAAGTCCTTGGGAGCTAGAGGTCACCAGACTGCTTAAAGAGGGGGCAATGTCTCCCCAAAATGGAGCAGGTCAAACGTTCCTTGCTTACCAACAGTGGAATCAGCCTGGGAATGGCCACTGTACTTCCACAGCCTGGGCAAGATAGGGATACCCAGTCACCAAAAAAGAAAACGTATTTTCAAAACTAGTCTTGGTATTTTACCAAAGTAGAAGTGCTTTAGGCATAGATATAAATATAGAAATGGTAAATAATAATTATATTGAGTGGGTATGATGCTTCTAAAAATTGCCTAGGGAAAAGATGGGAATGCCAAGGAGAGTAAGGGAAGGAGAAGAGCCAACCTTTGCCTCTGCTGGGGAAGGAGTGGGTACCGCTCCATCTGGTCTGGCCTCTGCCTAGAGCACTTACTTATTGTGTGTGTTGTCAGATGCATATGTCTTGGCCCAAATACAAAATCTGATGTTTTTGCTATCTGGTGGCCCACCCCGTCAATTAGCAGGTGGGCTCAACCAAATACAGAGAAGGGCTTAATTCAAGTCTCTAAAACAACGTTGGGGAGGGGGAGCCCCACAATCATACAATGTGTTAAAGGATTTGCTTTTTTTAATTAAAATTTTGTAAAACTAGTATTTATTTAGCAGATATTAAAATAGTTAAAAATAACCATCTCAAAATTTTGAAGATAGCAGACAGTTAATAGCAATGGGACATACAAAGTAGAGAAAGGAAGGAAGGAAAGAGGGAGAAGAGAGAGAAGAGAGGAGAGAGGGAAAGAAAGAAGGGCAGGAGAGAAGGAAGGAAGGAAGGATGAAAAATATGAAGAAGAGGAAGGGATAATATGTAGCAACCTCAAAGGAAAGGAAAATAAAGTGAGAGAGGTCAAGAGAGGAGGAGGAGAGGAATCAGAAAGAAAAAGATGTCAGGGAAAAAAGGGGGACAGAGAAGAGTTTAAAGGAAGGCACAAATTGGAGAGACAGAAGATAAGAAAAACATAGATGAAGAAAGGGACAGAAACATTGAATTACAGTGCGATGGAATATGAATCAAATTATTGCAAATAAGACCCTACAGTGTGTAGAGAAAGGAAGTGGAAAGGGTAGAGGAGCGTACCAAGTTGGTTGGTATCCCAAAGACAGATTAGGCTACTTCACTATTCAAGTCAAGCCTATTTCTCCTCCTCACACCCCGAGCCCTCCCCCATTTAATTATATATTATTCTATTATAAAGAAAGTGGGGGGGGTGGGGAGAAGGGTAGTGTGGCTGGGTCAGAATAAAACATGGAGAGCAGAGAAATGATTTCTTGAGGGTCAATTCAGTTCAATCCAATCCCATAAACATTTTTTAGACACCTACCGTATGCTAACCATGGGAATGCAAAGATTAAATAGGCCTTGTTTCCTGTCCTCATTGAGTGTGCAATCTAGTAGGCAGAATATTCTAAATATAAGGGGGTGGGGGAAGCTATTAGGTAGGAAATCTCTACAAGCCACATCCCTGCCAGCTTCAGATTATGGACGTTAATTAAGGCTTTTCCTCTCCTCTCTTTTACGTGCTAGCAAAGTGTAGTTTATAAACTTGTGTAAATGTAGTAATTTTATATTTAATGAGTGAATTTTCCGATTTCCTTTCATGCAGTCCAAGATCTCTGTGGAGTGGGAGTTGAGATTCACTGTGCTGTCTTTTACTGGGGCTGTGGTTGCAAATATTACTATGCTTTTTTTTTCTGATTAAATTGGTTTGCTTTGACTTAAAAAAATTTTTTTAACGAGTGTTTCAAACACAAATGAGTAGAATGCAAAGCAGAATATAATGCATAAGAGATGAAAATAAAATGCTGGGTGAGCTAGGGAAACATTATTTCTAACAGAGAAACACTGTTAATTAAGGATTCACCAACTGCTTAGTGATAACTGTAGCATCTTACTCCTCATTCCTCATCCCTATGTTCATTAACCCAGCCACACCCGCCCACCTTTTGCTAGTAAGTCTTACAACCCTTTTGCTAGAGGTTGATATTGGCTGCAGGAGAAATTGTTGAGGATTAACTGTGGGTACAAATCACTTACTTTAATCGGTCTTTCTTGGTGCTACGATCTATACAGAGATCAGAGAAGGTTTCATGTACCCCTGTGGCCTTCAGCAGCACCAGGCTCTCACTTGACTGGGAGACTGGTGGGTCATATTTTGTTGACTACATGGAAAAAGAATTACATGGTGAACCAGGTTCCTAGAACTGAAGGTAGGTAAGAGCAAAAGAGACTTTTTCTCACCTCTGAAGTGTAGTGTTATGAAGGAGTCCGAAGGTCGTATCTATTTTTTTTTTCAAATTCTGACCTTTAGTTTTACTCTTGGTTTGAGGGCAATAATTTAAGGAGTTGGAATTCCCTCCCTCAGATCGAGATTAAGGAACCAGGCCAGAGCAGGCCTTCTTTTAAGAATTTTGTGAACATGGTGATAATCCAAAATAGAAGCCTCACAGCCCTACTGAAAAACATATTTATCTGGCTTCTCCCCTAGAATTTAACAAGAACCTCTTCCTGAGTACCCCAATTCTTTATTGTCTGTTTCTTTCTCTGTCTATAACTCTCAATTTCATTCTATCCTATTCGTATACAGTTATCCCTTCCATATCATGGGGGTTAGGGGCATAGTACCCCCATGATCCAGAAAATCTGCGTAAAATTTTTTGGCCCTCCCTTTGTCTTAGAGAAGTTTGAATTTTTTTCTTTTCTTTCTTTTTTTTTTTTTGGGTGAGGCAGTTGGGGTTAAGTGACTTGTCCAGAGTCACACAGCTAGTGAGTGTTATGTCATTCTATTTCTTTTATTTGATGTTTATAGTACCTTATTGTAAAATTGGGGTTAAGTATTTGGCATAGGCTATATATGTAGGGCAATGTTAAGTAAAAAATACTAGCCTTTGTGTATCATCTGCTGGCTTTCGCATTGTTTTTGTAAACTTTTACTTTTTACTTATTTTAACTTTAAAAAAGAAATTGTGTATATTCATGGCATTAAAAGATAAAATATGTTGATATTATACAAACACTACACGTACATTTTATACATTTCTGAGTTTCTAAACTTTTTCTTTGTCATCTGTGGCTTCCGCAAAACTCCCCCCAAATTCCCATTTAATGTCTTATGTCAACCTGCAATGGGGAAAGTTGCGATGTGAAAGGGATAACTGTATATTTTGTATTGGTTATATACAATGTACATGTTGTTTTCCCACATAGAATGCAAGCTCCTTGAGGATAGGGAATTTTTCATTTTTAGTTTTGTATCCTCCGCACCTAATTCAGTGCCTAATACATAGTAGATACTTCATAAATGCTTGTTGCATTGAATTTGTATTTATAATCCTATGATCCTGCTTTTTCTTCTTCTTTCCTTCTTTCCTTCCTTCCTTCCTTCCTTCCTTCCTTCTTTCCTCCCTCCCTCTCTCCCTTTTTCCCTCCTTTCCTTTCTTCATCCTACCTCTTGTCTTTTTTTTTTCTTTCTTTTAACTGACCATAATTTGGAAGTGGCAGTTTTTTTTAAAAGCTAACGTGCCATTAAATTTACTAAATGTTTATATTTCCTGTTCTTACTTTTAAAATCAGTAAGTTGAATATGTGGCTTCTAAAGAAAATAATTTTTATTTGTGCATGGACATACATTATTTTCACCTCCTGTGAATCAATTGCTCTAACAAAGTCAATATATTCAACAAGCTATTATTTATTAATTGACTACTATGTACAATGCACTATGCTAAGTTGGGAGAGATACAAAATTTGACTAGGACACAAGTCCCTGTCCTCATGAATTTTACATTCGAGTGATAAAATATTGATTAATATTTTATCAATAAAAATTTGCTAAAAAAATTGATAAAATTGCCCACTCAAGACTTGTTATGTCTTTCATTATTCAAAGCACTCAGAGAAAGACTGCTGATGGACAGTTACACACTTGAGGACTGGATACTCTAAACCATCCCCTAATGACTGATTCCCACTTTAAGATTAGGGAAAAGCACTCTTACTTCTTCCAGAAAGATTATGCTAGGGGTTTTGGGCACCAAGCAATGATTCACATGGATTCTGGGATCTTTGGTGGTGATGGACAAGCCCTTCTGTAAAATGTTCACCAGTCGGATCCAGAAATGGAAGACAGTTTCAGGGTGTTTGGGATGGAGCTTCATGTAATAGATCTTTTCAGTCACAGTTCTGACCCTCAGGACACGTTGGGACTTGTCATAGATCAAGATCTCCACAAATTTCAGTGGGACAATCCTAAGGGCACAAGTGAAGACACCACCAGAGAGAACTAATCACTTTGGGTAAAATGAGTCCGTCCTTAACCAGGAAGTCTCATTTTTTCTGTTTGCCATTCATTAAACACTGCCTAAGGCCTGGATTCCCTTTATACAATCCAGTCAGGTTCCACAAGCAGTCCAGTTCCACAAATGCCTACTATGTGCCAGATACTATTCTAAATGCTGAGGGAGTGGCAGGATATCTAAATATAGTTCTTCTCTCTGCTTACGGGAATTCTCTTTAGAAAAGAGTCCATAACCGGCCCTGGAGTCAGGAGGACCTGAGTTCAAATCTGGCTTCAGACACTTGACACTAGCTATGTGACCCTGGGCAAGTCACTTAAACTCGATTGCCTGACCAAAACAAAACGAAAATAGGAAAAGAAAAAGAAAAAGAAAAGAGTTCATACATACCCTTTGATCTAGCAATACCATTACTTGGTCTGTGTCCCAAAAGAGATAAAAAACAAAAAGGAAAAGAACCCATATGTACAAAAATATTTCTAACAGATGTCTTCTGGGGATAAAGAATTAGAAATTGAGGGGATACTCATCAATCGGGGAATAGCTGAACAAGTTGTGGTATGTGATTATGATGGAATACTATTGTACTATAAGAAATG